CTCTCTCTCTCTCTCTCTCTCTCTCTCTCTCTCTCTCTCTCTCTCTCTCTCTGTCTCAAAATTAAAAAAAAAAAATTCAATGAATGTTGTTTTCGCTGTATTGATTCATTTTTCTTCTCGCAGTTCCCAGCAAGCCACCAGGAAATTTCAAAGTCGTTATTCAATCCTCTACGTCCTTTCTAATAACATGGGAGGCCATAGCACAAGAATTTGTCCACGGCATACTCCTAGGTTACAACGTCACATTCATAAAACATGGCTGGGATAACGAACGAACACCCATGTACAAGATTGTTGAGCCAGGTACTCATACCTTAACGCTGGAAGATCTTGGCAAATTTACCACCTTCACAATTTCGGCGTGTGGCTTTACTTCTAAAGGATGTGGCGTGCCAACTAGTCAAGTAACGGCTCAAACATCAGAAGACGGTATGTATATTGGTAATTCCTCATGTTTTATAAAACCATCATGAGAATTGTGTTAATAGTTGTATGCATAATTTCATTGCTTTCCTATTTTCGACTTGTTCTCACTTCCCGACTCTCTGAAGTAAAAGCTTTTTGCGTATTTTTTGCTCCTAAATAATAGTTTGTGTTGCGTGTGTCGTTGTTTGAATGTACCTTCTGTCAGTCCGATGTAGTTTTTCACTGTGTTGTCTCCATCTGTCGTTACGCTTGCTTCGTAGACAAGGCTTGTTGTAAGGCAGCTGTTGTTGAGTGGGCATTGCCTTTATTCCTGCAGTTACATCTGTTTTGAGGGGGTGGGGGTAGGGAGCTTTTTGAGGGGGAGGGAGGTGGGATTGCTGTTGATTATTTTCTTGTTGTTGATCATGGTTGATTAACGTTGATCCTACTTTAATTTGCCGAATCCCCTTGATTCTTCCATCTTTAACCAGTTTAGTCAAACGAGCGATGTCCAAGAAAACATAATAGTGAGAGATAATATTCTTGTTTCGTTGACAGTTCCTTCGATGCCACCTCAAAATTTTCAAGCTATAAACCTTACGTCAGAAAATAGCATAACGCTAACCTGGAACCTTGTACCGCGCGAACATATAAATGGTATCTTGGTTGGCTACGTCATCCGCTACCAACAAACGTCAGCGGCTGACGAGAAAGTAAAAACAGGCGATATAAAGACTAGGTATCTTGGTCCAGGTACCAGAAATATTGTGTTTGATGGTATACCACAATATAGCGTGTGGAAATTCCAAATATCTGCCATTACAAATGCTGGTGAAGGAGACCCTAGTAGCTTCACATACGGAGGTTAGTGAAGTCGGCATTATGAACATTGCATGCGCACTCATCTTCACGATTATACGCAACCCAACAATGCACTACCCAGAATCGCTCGGGCACGGGTTCAAATCCTGTTCAAATCCCGTTCAAATCCCGTTCATATGTTGCCATTTATACTGCGAGGATCAGCTCAATTTGAAGCACTACCCAGACGTTGGGGTTTGTTTTGACTTCTCTCAATCAAAAAAGCGTAGCTCAGAGTGTTGGAGATTTTATTGATAGAAGATATACAAACCCAGACGTCTTTAATTTTAGCGGGTTGTCTGGGTCGCGTACTTGTCGAGATAGGTGTAGACGTAGATCTTTTTTAAATAAGTAATGTTTAATAAACGAGCAAGAGTGTTTTATCGGGTATAAAACACGAGGCGTAGCCGAGTGGTGTTAGACCCGATAAAACACGATCTACCTGTTTATTAAACGGCTTAGAAAACTGATGATGTATGTTCTCATATTGTACTAAATACTTTACGAAATGAACCAAGTTTGATAGAGAAAATCCAAGTTAAAGTTTATGCAAATGAAGACGTATCTTTATCAGATATAAAATCACCTTCATGGTCATGATTTCTATTGTGTTTTCCTCATGAATTATTAATGAGTTTTCTAACTGTATTTATTAAGCTCTTGTTGGCTTTCTTAATATAATATGCCTTAATATTTATTATTATATCTTATAATATTTATTATTATATATTTATTATTATATTTATTATATCCCTTATGCGATATTTAAGTTCCATAAGCATTTTGTTAGGATTTATATTCATTTGGGCCTGTTTCTGTTACTACTATGAAATTTGTACTGTAAGGTTCACACTGTGCATTTATTATTATTTTAGGTATGTAATGTCATACGAGTTTTTCTCATTGACATTAGATGTTTGTACCTTTCGAAACCGGTAATACCGTGTTTTTATGTTTGGTACCTTAAGTTTAAACTTCTCTCTTTGGAACCGTTTAGAACTTTTCATTTGAATTAAAGGGCCCTATATTACGAGAGTAGGGCGGGCTTTTTGGTCCTGTATTACGAAAGTAGGTTAGAGAGGAGCTTAGTTGGATTCTCTATTCAATTTTCAAAATAGAGGGGGTCAAAGTTTTAGCATTGTTAAACGGGAAAAGGGGTTTGAATGAAAAAAAAAACCTTCTAGAAATCTGATCTGTAATTTGTATTTGTTCTTTTGCTAGCATCATGTCGGTGCCCCAAAATCCTCTATAGCAACTTTTTCGTCCATCCTCCATATTTGACTGTCGACGACGACGGCTCCTTCGATGGCGTGTTCTATAACATCACTGAACAAATGATTAAATGGGCTTGCGGGAACTGCAAAAATGGCCACGGAGAGACAGACCTCAATATGAAAAGTAATGGCAAAGGAGGAGATGCCTATAAACCGGGCGCGATTGACTTAGTCGACGACATTGATGATATCCCACATATCAGCTTCCCTGTATACGGCAATAAATACATGGATAAATACATGGGTATGTACGAGTATATACATTTCATGGACTCGCCAGGAGTTGTCTTCATCACTATCGACAATCCAGCTGGCACAGCAGGACAACGAATTATCACTGCTGTGTTCGGATGCTTGCCGTTGCTGTTGATAGCAGTGCTGATGGCTGTTCTAGCAGGATTCATCGTCTGGTTCCTCGTGAGTAAACCATCAATATCTTTTTCACATGAGTCGCCAGAAAATTTCCGAGATGCGCGAGCTTTGTTATAAATATCGCAGGTGCAAACATAAAAACGAGGTATTTTTGGTGGGTAGTGTTTATAAACAAACCTTTGGAAACCGTAGAGTCACATGCAATTTCTACAACCCTCCTAGAAAAGATTTTGTCTGAAGTGAGCTATATTACATAAAAAAGTCATAAATCCTGCTTTTGAACTAGAAGAAACTATTACCTAGTATTCCTTCATTAAAATAAATTCGTACGTATTTTCAATAGCGCGCATAAAATCTCGCCTACAAATGACTTGTTTTCGAATCGGAGCACCCGATATGATTATGACAGCGCTCGCCGACATTTTGGAAAAGATATGATCTGTTGTCATAGTGCAGGTACATTAATAGTACAATGGCTCAACGAATATCATTTCATAACAAACAACTGCTAGTTTTTGGATATATCGATTATTTCAATTTATATCTTGCGGCCTCAGATCTCAATGTCAGGGTATTGAAGGTGGGTTTCCCCTTTAAAAAGATGTCCTTGAAGGTTGTTGCTGCTGGTATGCAACTTTGTAAGTATTCAGGGAAAATAAGATAGAACATATTCAAACGCATAATTATAGTGCATCCTTTTCATAAATGGTATTTTTTTCTTTGATTCTAGGAATTTAGAAGCAATCCTGAGCAATTTAGTCCTAGCTTCTTCAGTGGTTTTTGGGATGGATTTTGGTGGGCATACATTTCCATGACAACCGTGGGGTTAGTAAATCTGCCTTGCCTTGCCTTGCCTTGCCTTGCCTTGCCTTGCCTTGCCTTGCCTTGCCTTGCCTTGCCTTGCCTTGCCTTGCCTTGCCTTGCCTTGCCTGAGTATTCTATATCCTTTGATTATCCAAAAACTCGTATTACTAATTATAATTACCCAGGTACGGCGATCGTTTTACCGTGACAGATGCCGGAAAAGTGTTTTCAATGATTTGGACATTAACCGGTATCGTCATCATTTCCATGTTGACGGGTTCCATAGCAACTGATCTGACATCCGAAACTGTCGAACAAGATATTATGCTATATGGAGCAAAAGTAAGCATTAACTTTATTTGTTTTGTAATTATTGTTGTTTTTCTGGCGCTGCTATTGCTGAATATTTTAACACTGGAAGAAATCATGCCTTCTTGTTGTATTTGGGCCGCGATTTCATCAGAATTTATCTATATTGAAAAAAGTAGTATAAAAAAGAGTTAGGAGGGAATGTGGGGATTTGACGGAGAGTTTCTTTGCGACTAGAGGTTTCTGATTATAGAGCTAGCAGCTTAAACGGTTGCTGTGGTTTCTTCACTCTGATCAAGCCAAAATGCATACTTGGGCACCACATAACACTTGGACTCTGGTATTGCCACTGATACAATTACTAGACGACCGTAAAGGTATAAGATAAAATTGATTCGGTTATTTTCTCCATAGGTTGCAGCTATTCATAATTCTTCAGAATACCGCTTAGGGATCCTTAAAAACGCCAAAGTAAACACAGGTTAGTCTCCATATTTGTTTCAAGATGATATTTCCAAAGGTGTAATAGTTTCAAATCCAGGAGCTCGAGAAACACACATTTCAATGTTTTATGATAAAAGGAATTATTGACTTTTGCCAAATATGAGCAGTATTATTTGTTGCGGATGTCTTAATTTTTAACCTCTTTCTTCTCTTCTTTTTATTTTTTCTACTTCTTCTCCTTTTTTACCTTTTCCTTCTTTTCCTTCTCTCTTTTTTTTGTAATTTTCTTTTTCTTTCTTGTTCTTCCTTATCTTCTTCTTCATCATCATCATTTTCTTCTTCTTCTTCTTCTCCTTCTTCTTCTTAACTTCACATTCTTCAGACAAAAAATACGGGAACTTCGAGGAACTCAAGCAAGCGTTAAGGGCTCGCCAAGTTCAAGGAATTCTGATCGACTTGTACGTAGCAGCTGAAAATCAAAAAAGCATTTTTGATTCGGAAATAAAAATAAAAAAGATATTGGATAAAGAGTTTGGTTATGGGGTCGTGCTTTCTGGTGCGTCTGCCGTTGTGCAACAAAGATGCAGAGACTTCATCAAGAAGAACATTGCTGACATTACCAAGTTGATAGAAAGAAAAACTAAAACTATTGAGGTAAGTCATTTAAGGATTTTCAGGCTTCTCCTTGAATAAGGATTGTGTATCGAAATATATGTGGTGCCTTACTGTGTAACAACATCTGGGTTTAGCCAATGTATTATCAGCGTAGTGATACTCGCCTCTCACCTCTGTGGCCTCTTAGCTTCCATTCCATTCCTGGACTGGGTATCACATTTGAGTATAGTTATTGGGTCTATTCTCAAGATTCGTACGAGGGTTTTCTCAAATGAGGTTCTCTGATTTTCTTCCCTCTAGAAAACCTAACACGCTTAATTTCTAGTACTGATCTATGAGCCGTGCCCTTACTTTGATTTTTCCGGAAGTTGTTTAAGGTTTAATTCGATTTTTGGTCAATCCAGAGGTTGATTTTGGGTTCGATATGTGAGTTAGCCATGCCCTGACTTAGACTAGTTATAGCGGTACCTTGTTTTTGATCAGCCCAGAGATCGTTTCAGGGTTTCACTGTGATTAAATGTTTGGTATAAAGTAGCCATTGTCTTGCAGAAGTACACATTTTTCGTTTTTCGTTTTTTACTGTTTGTCTAGTCTAACGAGGAGGACGCTTCAGAAGGAGAAGAAGAGATCAACTTGTTTGACAGCAATTCTACAATGTTTCGAAGTTTTCTGATGTTTTCCTGTGCGTTCTTGGGTTGTGCATATATACTTGGGTTCATCTATCATTTCGGCTGGTATCTGCCAAAACGGCGGGCAATATGCAAAGTGCATCAAGGTAAGTCTTTAACGGACTACTTTGACGATACGGCGGCCATCTTGGATCGCAAGGCATAATGGGGGCATCCTGGGGGGGCAATACAGCTTTGTTACAGTTATGACGTCGAGTTGATATTAAAGGCTCACCATAAGAGAATAAAAGAAAAAAATGAATTAAGGCGATCGATCACCTTTAGGCATAAAAGAAAGAAAAACACAAGAAACTCACGAAAAATGGCCGCCATATCGTCGAAGTAGATCATTACATTTTGGTATAACGAACGAGATAGCATCGACTACCGACCACGATTACAGCTAGACTTGCATCCTCTCAATTATAGCTTTAGACCTCTTTACCTTGGTGTAGTGACCGTGTGTCATTCTCTTGAGTATCATTTCGTTGTTTAACGGTTGCGAATGAGAAGACACGCGGTTTGAAATGGGAAAGCAATACCCTCAAGGTAAAGTGGTCTATAGCTAGCAACTCCAGTATGTATAATAATAACACAACAGTACCAACAACAACAACAATGATTTGAAACAATGAAACATGTAATTGCCCTATTTCACTATGACGTCACTGCTTGTTTATGTGGGGGATAGAATCGCCAAATCCAATAGAAAATTTAACAAAATTTGCTCCAAGCGAAACAGTTTAATCTAAAATGGCCTGGTTTTCATATATAATATGTGTTAATATGTACTAAAAAAGTATTCTGAGCGTTTGCTGGCTATTCTACTTCTTTTCGTGGATTGATACGGGTTTTAGAAAAATTTTCGGCGAATTTGCGTTGATTTGACCCCGTCCGACGACCATGATCCTTTGCGTTTAAACAATAGATTGTTTTGATGTGACGTCATAGTGAAATAGGGCAATTTAGAACAACAACAGCTATACTGTTAATGGTTTTCTGCGGGAACGACAAACTGGAAACTGAAAATGACAACTCAATCAAGGCAACATCAATGCATTCATTACATATTAATACAACACGAATAAAACCATTATCACCGCCTACATCATAAAGAAATACTGAGATAACGAGAGTTGAAACATTTCTGCTTTGCACTGTAGGAAATGACGAGAAAAGCAAGGATAACTGTGCATTGTATAAAGACGAGCTTCTTCAAGAAATGCATAAAATGGTGGAGGAATTTCACCAAACACAAATGAAGAAACTTGAAAATATGAAGAAAAGATACAAGCAGGAAATTTTACAAATCCTCAAGAAAGAGAAAAGCATCACCAATAAGAAAAGTTTTCTTAAAATAGGGGAAGGAAAAATATTATTTTGTCTTAAAGATCAACATGGAGTGCGAGGGCTATCGTTTAAACAGAAAACATGAGTCATCTTTGTGTTCATTTCAGAAACTGCATGTAAAAATATTATAAAGTGTGGTATTTCAGACCGACAGAACGAAAAACGGATATATTTAATACAAAAATATCCCCATAAATTTTCTATTATCTGAGGCTGGATCTAACGTTATTCAATCCAGTCCAAAATGAGAGAAAATGTATGGGGATTTTTGGAGGCTAAATCCCTTATGTCTCAATTTCTAAAGCTTGAAACAGCCTTAAAGTTGTCAGAAACCTAGAAAATGTCATGATCTTTCCAAATGTGAACATTTCAAAACTGAATTCCAAAATTTGGAATTTGACGATGTCACACTTCACGATACGATAAAATTACTATTACTTGCTAGTAAAAGAAATGAAAAACACACGCACTCTCGAACGCACTAGAAGTTCATTTGCCATACAATGCAAGACTTTTAGTTAGTATGATAGGGCCGTATGAGGAGAACAGATTAAAATCACGTTTGCATGTTTATTACAGTTTATTTTAGTTAACATTTACTTTGATCGATCTGCAATTATTTCCAAGATAATAGACGAATAAGAAGACGCGTGGCAGCCATGAGTGGGATGATAACAAACGCGACTTACGAATTTTTTTTCAATTGTATAACTGTCTGTAATAATTAAAGCTAAAAAGCATAAAAGAGACGAAAAACAGGCGTCTCACAGAAAGTCCAAAGTCAAGACAAGATAGCGGTTGTGAAAACCAGGTATATGCAATTCAAAACGTTTGAATGACGGATCTTGTCGAATAACCAGTCAGAAGACGCTTATGGATCCCTTGTAGCACGTCAGAATGCAGCTAAATTTGTTGAACACGAAATGGTTTCCAATCAAATTCTCATGAGATATATTGAAATTCTTTTTGTCGTCCAAATCAAAGSTGGGAAGGGGTCTATTACGTCTGCTCTTGATTCTTCAAGAGGAATTTTGAAACTCCCAGTTAGTGAAAAAATAATTTTATTAAAATCACAAAGAATATTACAGTAATGCTTTTTTTCTATAACTTTCGCTTCAATAGGTTAATTTGACAAATAGAACTGAAAATGGACGAACGGGAAAAAATCCGTTCGGAGCTTACCTGGAGAAATTGTATAAAAGAGGGTTTTTAACGACTGTTTGATTCTGCACCTCGTTTCGATATGCTATCGCAGGCAAGAACAGTTGATGGAAGTAATATTATTATAAGCTGTGTTGAATAATTATTATTGGAGCGCGAGAATTTGCTAGTGTAATCAAAACAAATCCAGTTAAGAGGCAGTCCGTGTAAAGATCCAACAAAGCTGGAAATGACCCAAAAAATCGCCTAACCTCAAACTTTGCCTGAAGAAAGCCTACTATTTGGCAACTACTGACAATGTTTCTTTAAGTCTTACCCATAATTTGGACTGAATTCTAACTGCGATGTTCGCCTATTTTTGTTCTGTTTTTGTGAGGTATGGTCATACCTTGTAAATCGGTCTTTTAATGTTCAGTACACAATTCGAGAATCTATGCTACTTATCAGAATTCAAGAAACCCTAATTTTGTGGCTCGTTTGCTAAGTTGTTTGGCAGTTTGTTTATTCTTATGTTCATATTCAAAAACATTACATATTTTCCATATAAACACAATAATTCATTAGAGATTTATTAATTTATTATTTATCATATTTTTTTAGACACATAAACGCTTTGACTAACAGTCAAGAGTCGTCTTCAGCAGTTGCTTTTATCTGGACTGTCCGTTTCTCTACAAAGATAAACTGCTACATTTATTATGAATTATCCCCATAAGTCGGCCTAATTTACTGGGATAATTAGCAAGCATTGTTCGTGGATTAAGCTACTTTTTCATACTTTAATTGGAAATGCAAAATAATCCTTGGATATTATGTTTTTCTCTTCAATTTCTGGTGTGAAATCATGAAGAAATGGAATATTCTTATCCTAATTCCTAATTAAAGCAGAAAAWATATATATATAACTGAAGCCTTCTATGAGTTAGTGTGCAGAATGTTAGGGGGGAAAATGGAGAAAATAGAAGAAAGGAATGTAGACAGAAAGAGAGATAGAGAGCCCGGCGGTTTAGAAAAGTTTATTTCAGGTACTAGAATACGTGTCGCAAAATAGTGTATAGTCGTAATTTTCAATGGAAACGTTTCCATCTATTTTCATCCAAAAAAGAATTCGATCATTACAAGAAAAAAAAATCATTCTCTCTGTTTAACTATTCTCTTGACAGTTGCCGCTTCGACTTCTGAAGAAAAACAATTATTTAAATAAAACAATGGCCTGGTTGGTAACATTTACTCAAAAGAAGAGGGAAAAAAACTCACTGTATTTAATAAATCATCGTCATGGAGCCTTTATTCTTTTGCGATTCAATTTATATATTATTGTTTGTTCAGTAGCAGCAGTTTAGCATTAAACTTAGCTCTAGATTTTTAGCCTAAATGAAACTAAAGTTTCTTTTCTTTTTTATATTGCAACAGTAATGACGCTTTTTTCATTCCTAAATGGGAGCAAACATGACGCTAATGAAGCCAAAACTCATTATTTAGAATTATCAGTTAAGCCATCGTGAATTATTTAAGAATGAGACATTTACTTTAATTAGTTTACCAAATAAAATCTAGGGCTAAAGAACCTTGACAATCATTTGTGTAGTTACAACTGAGGATTATAATCACCGACATGGAGTAACATCAAGATGTTTTCCTTTAAGGTAAGCTAACTTTGTAGCATAAGAAAAACACGTTTAGTATATTGTCACTCTTGAATATTTTGAACAGGACATTTTACAGTACACTGAGTTCTTGTTTCGACTTTCTTCGACGACCTACCGTTAAACAGGAAAAATTGAAGTTTCTTGACATTTAATTAAACTACTAAACGTTTTAGCGCCAAGCTGCAAAATTCAGACAAATAATTTTAGGAAAAAATCAAATTTGTCGAGCAACAATCAGTTTACTAAGCTGCCCGTAAGAGGATAAACTTCTACTTTAGTAACTTTCGCTTAAAATTCGATCTTCCTTTTAAAACTGACAGCTCAAAATACTATTTCGCAAGAATCCAGCGATTGTTGGATTTCCTAAAATCATTTCTGTTAAAGTCAAGGTTCCATTTTTACTACTGTATTTTTGCCGTTTGCAACTAGTTTTCAATATTGGCTGAGAAAGTTAGAAAAAAACTTTCAAAATTACGACAATTTATTTTAGATATAGGAATTTTGTTTTTTTCTCCCTTCACGAAAATTTACTTCTAAATCGATGTATTGTTAGCCTTATCAAATGAGTTGTAAAACCTGTTGAGCTTTCCGTCCACTCTAGATCCGAGTAGTAAATCCGATTAGAATTGAGAAAAAATCCTCGACTCAAGGGAGATACTTAACAAACTATATCTACAAGTGAAACCAAGTCTGGGAATCAAACCCGGGACGTTCTTAGAGGAGAGTGTTCTACCGTTATACGATACCCTCCAGTTTCAAATTGATTTTCCCATTTTTCCAGTATACCTTGATTTCTTATTAAATTTTCGTGTGTTCTAGTGTAGGCCCGTGGAGTTTCCAAATGTTATGGTATTTTGAAAGTTTAAAATTTTTTTATTTTACCGTTGGTATTTGTGAATATTTATTTGTGCACTGAAATTAATCTAACCCCGTATAAACGGTGATGAAAGAACACAGCTGTATTTCGTTGATTCGAAAAAACTTAAATTTGTAGGCACGCCGCCGAAATATTCAGATAAATTGTTTAACGGTAGTGACCCAAAAGTGTTAGATCACTTTGCCACAAATATACAGTAACTAGCGGTGCTCAGCCGTAATAAGTGACATGTAATTAGTACATATAATTAGTACATGTTGATCTCTAATAATGGCAAGATTATCTCCTTTATTATAAACGATCCCGATTTTTCATCTGCAAATCAATTGTACAATACATCTTTTTTTTTTCTTTCCAGGTCGGAATCTTTTGGGTTCTGTTAGTTCAAATTGGATACAACACCGGTAAGTAACAATGCAATAAAGCCCACTCTCCAAGATCCATGGTCTTCCATCTACGCGTGACCGGTWATTTTGTTTTGAATGCGCTGTTAATATGGCCGATCGAATCCGCGACGAAAAAGTTGCTGATTTAATAATATCCAGATAATTGTGGACGGGGCCGATAAAGCAGTTGCTCCCAGTTTAGGTCTTGTCCAATTATTCAAATATTTTGGACAACCGAAAAAAAATCGGTTTAAAAAGAAAAAATTTTTTTTCCCACACGTAGCGTTTTTTATTCGTTTTCGCCCGTCAACTGACAGGCTGTTTTCGAACAGCTGTGTTTTCAAGGCCAATCCGAAAAGAAAGAAAAAATCCGTTTTTAAAAATATCCGAGTACGTATGGACGGGGCCCTAGTTTCACGTTGTGTTTTGGCTCAGCAAACAGACCTAAATGAAACACCTGCCGCGTGGTGAACATACACAAAACTTCATGGGTTAAATACTTCCCTTTCAAACCGACGATTATTCACAACTTTTTTTCCTTTTTCCCAAACTCAATTATGGTTTCAACAAATAATGCTAGCCAGTTAATAAATAGTTTTAATTGAACGGAACCATGTACGGAAATATGTGTAGTAATTATCAAGATCTTTAAAACAAGGAAATAAATTAATAAATTTAGCTTATTTTATGGTCATACTGAAACATTTGTGCGTGACAAGCGAAGCATATCTCGAAAGTGGTCTATTATCGCCCGCAACAAATTTTATCGCGTGAACATGGCTGCAGCATGCATGGCTTTAGCCAATCAGGGTAAATTAAAACGATACCCGCAGACCAAAAGTCTTAGTATAGCAGACTTGGTTATATAAGGAAGACGCTATATTGGAATAATGTTGAGTGATTTTGTTGCAACGTGCGTACATCCCGATTCGAATTTGTTTCGTAAAAATGGTGCTTATTGTACGCTGCTTTAGGTGGCCGAACTTACTTTGTATAGTGCAACAAACTCGAAGATGACGAGAATGCAGATTTATACTGGCGGCCCTCTCCCAATCAAAGTTCGCGATCATGATGACTGTGATTTTAATTTTATGAAAATTGATCTCAAATTTCGAGAAATGTATATTTTCCTCTTATTCTCCACGCTATAGGTGATATATAAGCTCACACAGAGAACCTCTTAAATCGTTTGCACTAATCAAATATATGCAAAATAAGATAATGAATTTATTCATTTATATATACAGTTTGCTCAACACAGCCGAAGATTCGAGGGCGTTATGGTCTCTCGGGGGTTTTGAATACGCCGGGTTATCCGTCGAAGTACAAACAAGCAGAAACACAGATTTGGAACATAACGGTTCCCATAGATAACTCCATCCGCCTTCAATTTATCCACTTCCAATTACAACAAGTCGACTGTAAGAACCTTTACATCGAAATTAGATACGACAACCAAAACACAGCATTGTGCTCTTATAATAGCTCTCTACCATTAACATTTCAAACTTCTGGTCGCCATCTTATCATTGAGCTTTTCAACCCTGATGGACTTGAAAACAGATTCCTGGCCTACTACAAAGCAGTGGCACGTGATGGTAAGTACGGGTAGTAAATAGCTGAAAAAAATTATGCAATATTCCATAGCTTGCTGGTTGGCTGGTTGGCTGGTTGGCTGGTTGGCTGGTTGGCTGGTTGGCTGGTTGGCTGGTTGATTGTCCTATGATCATCTTTTTTGCAGAGCCAAT